GTTTCAAGATTTTGTCCTTGATTCGAATCTAAAATACTGTTATTACCCTAGACTGGAACTCTATAGCAATTAATCAAAATTACAGTGTAGGTTTGGTTTGTAAATGTCTTACCTTTGAAGCGTTTTCTTGTTGAAATTGTTCTCTGAAATTTTGTCTTGGTTTTGTAGGTGGAGGTCAGTGTGTGGTGTTTGTTTTTTAAAGTAGATCAAGCTTGGTGGTGGTTATGGAGTTTCGGTTTCGAGAGATGAAGAAGACACTTTGAAGAAGACACTTTGATGAAGACGGTGACTGAAGGGACGTTTGGCAGAGATGGTTAATTGAAGTCGCAGGCTGGAAGTTACTTTTTTTTTTTTTTTATAACGAAATTATGGTTTTGGAGATGGTAAAATCTTTGGGCTTTTTTATAAGTTTGGGCTGGGGTTGTTTTGGGTGCTTTTTGAGTTTTTTTTCTATTGGGCTTGATAATGGCAGTGCTTGTAATTTATTGGAACTTCAACACTAATTTGTTATTTAATAAATGAGTTTTGGGTGTGTTTATAAAGTGTTTTTTCATATGGGGTTTTTTTATAATTTCAGCACCCATTTTGGGTATATTAGTGAAGCTCCCAATATAAAAAGACATTTAGCTAAGAAAATAATAAACAAATCAACACTGATGTAATAAAATACTGTTTTAATATGATATATCAAGGGACCCTATATCAAATTAGCAGATTACTCATCAAATTTAAATTAAATATTTGTCATTTAACATGCTCTGATATATTCATAATAGATTTAAATGCAAAATGACGTGGCTTCTATTCATCTAAAGTAGGCCCCACTTAAGGTGACGCAACAACCAAAATATTCTCCTTAGCGATGCTCCATTTCCTTACTCTCCCCACTTCTTCTTCGTCAGCAATCAGAGCCCAAAATCCCAAACTCTGAAACTCAAACAAACAATTTCATTGATTTCTTTCCAGTCCCATGGCCTTCACCAACTCGGCTCTCTTTGCTTCTTCTCTCACTCTCCATCGATCCAAAATTTCCGATTCCGAATTTGCCCTTCCGCCTCATCTCTCTCCATATGAGCCTTCCAAGCTCCTCCCATTTCCTACCATATGCTCTCAACATGCTGACACTTTCTCCAGAAAAATGTATGAGTGCTCTCTACTAATATATATATTTTTCATTTGGGTTTATTTTTCTGTTTTGTTTCGTTGCTAAGAAAATGGTGGATTAAAAAGCTGGCGATCTCTCGTTTATGTGTTTGTGATTTACGGTTCTGGATTCAACAATATTTGACATTTTCCTCTTCTTTTTATTATTCTTCATGTAAATATTTTATTCATTCATTGTTGTTTTGTTTGGTTGCTGAGCAAATTGTGGCAACTAATAGAAATGGACCATCCATTTGATCGCAGAGAGAATTAAAAGAAAGTTTGAAGTCAACTAGATACTGATTTAATTTTCATTTTTGGTGTATAATTTAAATTTCATTCTGATATTGATTAAATTTCCTTAAAATATTATGCAGGAACACTGTGCGTGCGTCTACCAATGGTCTGAATGCAGTTGGGTCAACCTCGTTGGTCAGTTACATTGCATGCTTAATACAAACATAATATCATGGTTATGGTATTGAATTCCATATTTATGTTGGATTCTGCTGGTGTTGTACTGTCTAGAATTTTCTAAAACAGTCATATTATTGTTGACGATTTCTTTGAAAAATGAAATAAGTTGTGATCAATTTCTTTGAAAGGACATCATACATTGGAGTCTAGTAGAGATGCCTATATGTTGAAAGACTTTAATCTTTTGCAGCAGACTCTGAAGTTGCAGAATTGAGACTATATCCTAGTAGTTGGGTTTTTAATCTTGTTGAGCTATATGGGGTGGGTTATTTTGTAGTCTTGTTTCTTAAACGCATATATTAGTGAGCATATGATCATCTCACCATGAGTTGAATGTTTGGTTCTGCTCTCTCCTTTTTTCTTCTCTCTTCTCACTCTACCACTGAAATCGTAACATGGTTCAGAGCCATAATCAAAACAATCAAATCATTTCTAAGCAGCCCACTTTTTGTCCCATGTTCTCACATTAGAATATTGAAATGTTGTATGCCGAAGATTGGATTGTTATTTACGTGCGACAGTAACTAGGCCCTGTAACACCTTTGAAGTTGGAGTTGGTTTTCCTGATGCTAATTGGACTCATGATTCTTGTATTGACCATCAATATTTCGGTTACATGGAAAAGAAAGACACAAAGTGACTGACTAAATCAGGTGCCGGACCTGAGTATAGATTTATGTATCTGTAATGATTTGGGTGAAGACACTTTATTGCAGAAATGGGTATTCTATCTTGAAAACCTATCAGAATGCTTTGTGAGAATCAAGGAGCTATACATATTGCCTCTACTCCAGTTGTCCATGAGAGAACTAAGCATATAGAAGTAGATTTCCATTCCTTAAGAGATTAGGGATGAATTGGGGGTTATGCTTACTAAAGCCCTGGGGGTAAAGGGGAATCCTTTGAGTTATGCAACAAGTTGGGGATGATAGATGTATATGATTCTGTTTTATATGACTCAATATATCTTTATATTTGACTATAGTATCCAAAAAGGGTTGAAAGTTCATTTCCATTATCAGTTTTCTCTCTTCTCACTCTACTACCGAAACCCTAACCAACTCTAGTATTTATCTTTGCTTTTTGTCATGGACCATGGGTAGAACTTGCTCTTGTAAAGTGACCCTGCAATGAAAGGTACCGAAGAGCTCCGATACTGCCCCAAAATATTCTATCTTTAGCAATGTGGAAAAGTTAAGAAATAAGAAAATCTACCACGCTTTTGTGCCCTCCATTCTCGTTGGTTCACTCTAGCAGTAATGCCTGGTAATTTGAAGGTAGCTTTCATTTTTATTCACCTATCACCTACTGTAGTATTATTCTAGCGCACAGGTCGCTTGTTTGGAAGGACATCTCAGGTCGATGCCCTTGGAATGGCTGGGACTCAAATGTTGTGATGAGGGGTTCAAAGCGATACCCTTGGAAAGACATCTTGATGTAGAACAGCCCATAGGTATTAGAGTGAACACTTAAGCAATAGAACAGAGAAGAAATAAGAGATCGAGGAGAAGAATTAGAGATCGAAGAAACGAAGGGAAAGGGAAGGAATCAGAGAGTGTATTGTAAGGAAATTTATCATTAATCAAGTCTGCCTTAAAAGATTACAAACTGCTCTATTTATAGAGGCAAAACCCTTTTTAGTCTAGGAAAAGGGAAAGTAAACTTAAAGAAATAGGAAAGCAAATTAACTAATAAGAGATCCTTCAACAACAAGGAATCCTTAACTGAATTAGGAAAACTGATAATAGGAAAACTAATCCAAATAGAATTAGGAAAACTAATAATATGCATTCTGCATCATTCTCCCCCACCGAAAAAGAACTCGACACCGGTGAGTAAACCAAGATTAAGGACGATGACGACGTTGGTAAGTATGGATGATAGGAGGACGGGATGCAGCCAAATCAAGATCATGAAGAGTATCCTAATAACTGTGCAGAAGAGTGGAATCCAACCGGTGAAATTCAGCTTCTGTAATCCAAGTTTCCTCAGTAGCAGGCCTTCCGGCCCAACGAACCAGATAACGGGTAGAAGCTCCAGCTGACGAGGCCACAACTTCATGATCCAAGACGTCAGCAATCTGATCTGTAGGGGCAGAACTGGTAGAAGGAATACGCGGCACTGGAGGAGGAATAGAACCTTGAACAACATCCATAGAAATAGGTGGAGACTCTTTTATCTTTCTGTGGACTCGGTGTGGGGAATGAGGGAAAAGGTGAGGTTTTGGGAAGAGAGATGGGTAGGGTTATAATTTTCTTATCTTTTGCTTTACTTATACATGTTATCAAGATCTCATAATGCATCTATTGCTTGTTTGTGTTTAGATCCCTCTTCTTTTCCTTTTATCTTTCTGGGTTTTAAAGAAATTTTTATGGATGGGAATTTGGGGAGTTAACTGAGTTCATTTCTAGAAATGCGTGTTTGGTCCCATAAAAGCATGATAGGAGAATTTGGGAGTTGGGTTCTCAAGATCTGTTTCTTGGTCCCTCCCATGCAATTTGGAAGGCCAAAGTACCAGAAAAGGTATGGGTTTTAGCTTGGATTATTGCTCATGGGAAGGTGAATACCTGTGACTTGTTCTAGTGGGGGAAACCCTATAGTTATTTTCCTCTTCAATGGTGTGTAATGTGCAAGAGTGATGCTAAATGTTTGAACCTCTACTACTTCATTGTCCAGTTGTATATTCTTTGTGAATTAGACTGCTTAGGGAGACGAGATTGAGTTGGGCAATCCCAGGTTCGTGGGATACATTGTTATTACAGTTTACAAGACTCTTTTGGAGGAAGAAAGGGTATCATGCTGGGAAGATGTGATGTGTTAGCATTATTTTGGGTTGTGTGGATCAGTGAATTATTTAGGGAATTAGGAGGGAGGATGTTGATCATTTGTGGGAAATTTGAATTTGGAAATCTTTGTGGGCTTCTGTTTCTTGGGAATTTAAGGATTGGTATATTGCTATCTTCTGATTGAAGAAATGTTATTATGAAGTAACCCTTTTTTTTCTTGGATTTTTGTTTGATGTAGTTTAGAATGGTGATATCAGAGAATACCTGTCCCCTGTGATATATACCTTCAATTCTATTCAATGAAAATTTACTTCTCATAAATAAAAGAAAAAGCTTAGGTCACTCCTTTCGTGGATTCTAGTGCAGGCAGATGTTGAAACTGGTTGGCAAGGTGACAGTCTAGAAATATCTTTCTTGTGTTTTTTCCTTGCAAGAGCTCTCCTAGGCGTCCAGTCTCTGTTTCCCCTTGCAAGAGCTCTCTCTCTCTCTCTCTCTCTCTCTCCCTGTTCTTCAGTCAGGAATTCAGGGTTGGTCATGTCTATGGCCAATGAGCTTTGTTTTGATAGCAGATCAGCTGTGTCAATTGACATTGAGTAACTCCTGAATAGAAGAAGAAAGTAGTTTACTCCTTTCGGAAGTCCATAAGACAAATTTACTTTTGTTATTTTTACTTTTTATGATTACAACCAAAGACATTTAAAAATGTTGAAATTTTGCTGTCTACAATATGATATTTTAATGTCCCTTACTCTCAGTCGGTAAGATCTTACCCAAATAATATATCTCATATTCTCATTCAAAGCTGTAGTGAGGGGTAGACAGATTTTGGATGCTGCCTTGATTGCCAACGAGGTGGTGGAGGAAAGTCGAAAGCTTAACAAATCAGGAATGGTGTTCAAAATAGACTTTGAGAAAGCCTATGATCATGTGGAATGGAGATTTGTAGATGAGGTTATGATAAGGAAAGGTTTTGGGGACAGGTGGAGAAGCTGGATTCGAGGATGTCTTGAGTCGGCTAATTTCTCTGTGATGATTAATGGAAGGCCTAGGGGTAAATTTTGGGCCTCAAGGGGTCTGAGACAAGGTGACCCACTCTCCCCCTTTCTGTTCACTTTGGTAATAGATGTGTTGAGTAGAATTATGGAGAAAGCCCAAGCTGATGATCAGTTTCATGGTCTTATTCTGGGGCATGAGATGGTGGAGGTATCCCATCTCCAGTTCGCCGATGATACCATTTTTTTCATTGAGGATAAAGAAGAGTACTGGAACAATCTCCTTCAGATTTTGGATTTATTCTGTTTCATGTCAGGAATGAAGATCAACAAATCGAAATGTTCTCTAGTTGGCATTAATGTTGAGGATGGGCTGTTGAATGAGCTGGCAGGAGCTTGGGGATGTGGAGTGGGGGCTTGGCCTATGTCGTATCTGGGTCTTCCCCTAGGTGGGAACCCCAGAGCAATCAAGTTTTGGGACCCCGTAGTGGAAAAGGTGGAGAATAGATTACAAAAATGGAAGAAAGCCTGCTTATCCAAAGGGGGAAGACTCACAATGATTCAGGCAGTGTTGAGTAGTATTCCGATTTACTACATGTCCCTTTTTAGGATTCCCATTGGAGTAGCCAATAGAATTGAGAAACTTATGAGGGATTTCTTGTGGGAAGGCTTGGATGGGAAGAAAAACCACGCTGTGAGATGGGAGATTGTGGGTAAAGCAAAAATATTTGGAGGACTAGGAGTAGGTTCGTTGAAAGCTAGGAGTGAGGCTTTGAGAGCCAAATGGCTGTGGCGGTTTCCTAATGAAACTCATGCTCTATGGCATAAAGTGATCAGAAGTATTTATGGAATGGATACAAACGGGTGGGATGCTAAACCTGCGAGACAAGGATCTTGCCGCAGCCCTTGGAGAGATATTTCTAGTGGCTATAATTTATTCCGTCAAGGCTGTGTCTTTGTGGTTGGAGAGGGAGTTAGGGTCAGATTCTGGGAGGATGATTGGAGCCGGGGTGGTGTTTTGAAAGAGGTGTTTCCAAGACTTTTCAATCTGTCCAGGAAGCAAAACCACATAATTTCCTCCTTTACGGTATCGAATGGGTTCCCTCTCAGTTGGGATTTTGGTTTCAGGAGGAATCTTAACGAATTAGAGATTGCGGAGGTGGCTAGATTATTGGACTTATTAGAGGGAGTGAGATTGGTCACTTCTAGAGTGGATAAGAGAAGATGGAAGCTAGACCCCTCCGGGTTATTCTCCTGTCAGTCTCTATGTTCCCATATTCAGAGTAGAGGTGAAGGGGAGGTTTTCTCTCCGTACACTCAAATTTGGAAGGCCAAGACTCCTCCAAAAGTTAAGATCTTTGTGTGGCAAGCGGTGTTGGGAAAACTTAATACAGGAGATACACTACAGAGACACTGTCCCTATGTGTGCATTAGCCCGCACTGGTGTGCTTTATGTAATAAGGCAGGGGAGAGTGTGGACCACCTCCTCCTTCATTGCCCTTTCTCCCTAAAATTGTGGGAGATGTTACTAAAGGAAGTAAACACGGTGTGGGTAATACCGGAAGGCTGCTTTGAACTTTTTTCAATCAGATTTGATGCTTTGGGAAGGGGAAAGAAGGCTAAAATTCTCTGGGGCAGTCTGATGCAAGCAGTGGTCTGGAACCTTTGGCTGGAACGTAATAGGAGAATATTCGAGGAGTATAAGGGAGTGGGGGTGGACGAGTTATGGGAAAGAGTGAAGTTTTGGGCTGCTCTTTGGGCATCAACTTCACTTGCTTTTAAGAATATACCCTATCCTACAATTATGCGTAATCTGCTAGCTGTAGTATCGTAAGGGGTCTCTTATGTTTGGCTGTTTTATTTTCTGTGTTGAGTGGCATTGTGTCTGCTCTTCAGGATAGTATTTCTTTCGTTTGGTCTAAATGTTCTTATTTTATCCTTCAATTTTGAATAAAAAGTGTTTCTATTCAAAAAAAAAAAATCTTGTGGATTTTTCCTTTAAGGTTATTTGAATTTCGTTCTTTTCCTCCGCCAATTATATTTGTATGTTACCCTTTCTGTTCTTTGGGTGGGAAATTAATTAAATTTTACAACTTGTTGGTTGGTACAGTAATGAGCTGAACTTTTGCTAATTTATTCCTTCTTCTTGTTGTCTGAACTTTTGGGGATGTAAATTGCTTGAATAAACTTCCAGACTGAAGTTTGATAATCTGCAAGAGTGTGACCAGATTGTATTAATTATCATAAAGTTGATGGGCGTTGTAAACTGCAGAAGTTTGATCAAGATGGTGATTATATTCCGATGCCAGTTGTTATGATCGATCAAGATTCAGATTCTGATGCAACTATTGTGCAACTCAGCTTTGGTGATCGCCTTGGAGCTCTCATTGATACGGTGAAGTGGATGTGGGAACTTTGTAAATTATCTGGTTTAGGATAACATCCATTGCAAGTCTCTAGTTCTTTACATTGGAATTCAATTTTGAGTGTGAAGAAATGTTGAAAGAAGTGTTTTAAAGCTGATTTTCTTAAACTAAAATCTTCAAGACACCAGTAATTTTCAAATAGGACTGCTTTTTATTGGTTAGAATCCCACAATTTAGTTTGTTAAAGCTTTTTGAGTCCATGAAAGTAACTCTGTTGAAGTCAACTGAAGTTGTTTGGAATAATCAGAAACACTTGAATCCACCAGCAAATGTGCTGCATGTAGTCAGTATACTAATCAGATTAGTTTTAAGTGAAAGTGGCTCTATGTGGTCTAGTGCTGACACCCTGAGCATTAGTTTCTAAAGAAAAAAAAAACCCAAAGTTAAGGAAGCTTGTGATTGTTTGCTTACTTTTGTTTGAATGACAGATCAATGCATTGAAAGATTTGGGATTGGATGTGGCAAAGGGAACTGTTACCACTGAGGGACCAGTCAAACAAACAAAATTTTATATAACGCGGTTGTGAGTACCTATTTATTTTTGTTTTTCATCATTTTGCACTTTTACATATGCTTATGGAGAGTTAATCTCATATATGGTTCTGAAAGGAAGTTTGCCAGTTTTGTGGATATGGTGGAGATTCTTGTAACATCATAGGTCTAAGTGCCTAATATAACTCTTTATGTGCCAATTAAATTATGACCATTTAATAGTTAAAGCTTTTGGGGAATAGTGGTAAGCCCTTATACTGTACTGTAGTATCAGGGCAGGAGATCTGGAGTTCAAATCCTTGCAACTGCAACCTCCTATTACAAGTTGAATTGCTTCAATTCAGTATCAGAGCCATCGAGTGTCGGTCATCGTACATACCACATAGGGTATCGACAATACTGCTCTGGGATTTGCACCACCTCTCCTTTTTAGCAAAATTTGAGTAGAAATAAGGTTTATTAGTTCATCCTGTTTGTGGCTAAATTTGTACATCAGGGGTGATCATATCAACCTGTGTCTCTAGTAACATTGTCTGTCCATAGAGTGCCCCTAATTAAGTTGTAACAATACTCATTGCTATGTGTAAGCCAATATGGCTACAAAATGAAATGCCAAAAGAAAAATATTCAAGCCAATTTGGATTCTGTGACATTTTTTTTTCGTATTTATTGTAAGCAGAACTTCTCAGAGTGTTTATTATTACTTCTAAAACACGTGTACCCCTGTGTTTTCAAAATTTTGATTGTGCTTCATTTGCATCAGTACAAGTGTGTAATTGTCAATTTTAATTGTTGTACCATCTATAAGCCAATGCTCCTATATGTTGTACTGCAAGTTTTTAGCATTTACAGATTGATTTTGGTAATGATAGAGACACTGGGCGCAAAGTTGAAGATCCTGATATGTTAGAGAGAATTCGACTTACCATCATCAACAATCTATTGAAGTATCATCCAGTAAGAATGCTGATTACACTCACTTATTATCTTTGAAGTTTTATCATATTTCTACATTTCTTACAACGATTCATTGATTTCATTAACGATAACAGTTTCTGCTTGAATTCCTCCTAGGAATCTAGTCAGCTACTAGCAATGGGTGAAGCATTTGGAATAAAAGCTCCAGAGAAGAAGGTGATGTTGTTAAACCTTGTAGCCTTACAATCATAACCTCTTCATCCGTACGCCTGGTTTGTTGTTCTTATCTGATCTTCTCTACTGCGGACATCACTGTTTGAACTTAAACTCTTAGCACCGAACAGTTTATGTTGGAGTCAAGTTCTAACGAAACACAATTATAGGATCTGGTCACTCTTGCCCTTTTCTCTGATGATTGTACCAGCATTATAAACATTATGTTTCCATAGCCTATGTATTATCAGGTCCAATTAAAGGTTTTGGAAGCTGCAGATCACACGGATGGATCTACATGTTTTGTTGTAGTCAGTTTGCCATCAGAATTGCTTTTCTTCAATGGCTTCTTATGTTTCTTTAAAGCTCAATAAAATTAATAAATGTATCTTCTTACTTGGGTTATGCAATGCTTGGGCTTCAATTTTGTGGAAAGTCATTTGCATAATGTCAATATGTTTCCTTGATGGTTTATGGTTTTAAAGTGTAAGGGTAGCTGCTGCTCGTTTGTGTTTAATAGCGTGTCACCACACAGATGGATCTCCATGCTTTGTTGTAGTCAGTTTGCCATCAGAATTGCTTTTGTTCAATGGCTTCATGTGGTTCTTTAAAGCTCAAGAAAATTATTTGTTTTATGGTTCTATAATTTTTCAAGAGGAATCTTATTATAGTTAGTTTTATTTCATTGTGAATCAAATATGATTTCATTGCTGAAACACTTTAGTTTATACATGTTTGTTTGTGCTTTGTTTTGACAAACTTATTTGTGATATTGCAGCTTGATGTTGATATAGCAACTCATATACATGTGAAGGAAGATGGGCCTAAGAGGAGGTTTGGAACATATAATTGAAACTGGCATTTAGCATTACAATTTCATTAGTTATTATGGTATTTCAATTCCTGTATTCTCTTTCACATCGCATTGATTTTGGAAATAAAAATCTCCTCTAAGCTTTCTTCACACTGGTTTCTGTTTGATTTATCATTTAACTGTGCATTATATTCTCCATATCACCAGCTTGCTTTACATTGAGACAGCAGATCGACCTGGGTTGCTAGTAGAAATCATCAAAATCATTGCTGATGTTAATATCGATGTGGAATCAGCTGAGATTGATACAGAAGTATGGCCTCAACCCAATTGCTTTCTCTCCCTCTTTCCTTGCATTTTCCTGTGATTAACTTTCTTTGTCTTATAGGGCTTGGTAGCCAAAGATACATTTCATGTCAGCTACAGAGGGGCAGCGTTAAACAGTTCCTTGTCTCAGGTAATTGATTTTGGTTCTGTACTGTCAAGCCAAATTATTGACCATTAGATAGCCAATATTTATTGGCGGGAGCTTCTGCTTATGTGAAAATCGGGTTATGTAGTGTAAGAAACTTCTGCACCATCTTTGTTAACAATTTCTTTGAATTTGCAGGTGTTGGTGAACTGTCTGCGTTACTACATCCGGAGGCCAGAAACGGATATAGATAGTTACTAATACAGCTGGAGGAACTGCATGAACTACTTTTAGTTGTAAATCAAATTGTACCAAACAGTCAGCTCAAAGTGACTCGTCGATCAGCGAGTTTTCAAGATTTTGAGTTCATGTTCCCGCAGCATGGGATTTTTTCTGGATGAGTTTCCAGGGATTCTCATGACTAGTACCTGAAAATTAGCAGTGAACTAATGAATAATTGTAATCAAAATACGTGTTGGATGAAAAATATTCCCCAGCATTTGTTGACTGTCTATAACTTTTTACGTACTAGAGGGAAAATTTGGAGATTTGGAACTCAATTCACCTGTTTTAAGAACATTTGAACAATTTTTCTATACATGTAAGGTCATGTAAACTTATGAATACGTGTCTACGCTCCCCCTCTGTAGCACGCTCAATGCCTTGTTGGGTTGTGTTCAGACAGTTGAATATGAATTTCAGTGTTTGTTTTGCTATTTTCATTTCTTGATTTTCAAAGAGACAAGAACACAATTAACTGCCAAACACATGCAAATGTTAATTTCGTTATAATTTCCAAAATTCAACCTTTGTCAAACCCAAGTCATAAGATTGCAATTTTCCCAAGTCTTAAACAACACAATTAGGTGCTAATTATGTCCCAAACAACCATGTTATCCACCCTTTAGCACCTAAAAAGTGATACTACTTTTTCCTTCTTCTAGCCCAACAAATTATAATGTAAATTTCTCAGACATACTACCAATGTGCTATGGGGGTTCAAACCTGAGACCACTGGTCTGAAAGGTTAAGGTCCTTTTCCACTGAGTTAGACACCGTTTGTATTAAAAAATATATATTATAATGTAAATTTCATTATGTCCAAAGTTCAACCTTTAAAGATAAACCCAAGACAGATGAATGCAATTTTCCCAAATCTTAAAACAACACACTTAGATGATAATTATGTCCCAAACCACCATATGGTCCACCCCATAACACCTAGAAAGTGATGCTAGTTTTTCCTTCTTCTAAAGTGAAAGTACAGGAAGCACAAAAAATGCATGTTCTTAAAGAGTAGCAGTTAAAGATCAAGATAGAGGAATAAGAAATTCTAAACAATTGGGTGGTTGCTGAGAGTGGCAGCTAGGACAGTTTATTTGTGCTTAAGCTAAGACTAGGCTTTAGCAATAATGAGAGCCATAAGCACAGTCAAGCCCCACTATAACCAATTCTCCACCAGAAAAAGGCAAAAAGACAAAAAAAGCAAGCCACATGCTGGTGGATGTGGTCATTTCCTGGCTAACTAATCCTCAATTTCACTTTATTCCCAAGCAAGGTATACTGTAAAGTGCAGCACCCTCTATTATTTTAGCAACAATGGTTTGTTTTCTTATCTAGTAAATAGCCTTGAAAGTTGAACAGTTTCGTTTGATTCCATAATTCACATCAGTGTGGTTGTATGTCTGAAATTTGAAATAGGTCCGTTACATTTTGTCTGATACTACTATAGTATAATTTCCTTGCATCCAATTATTTGAAACACCATTTCTCCTCCTGCATTCTTGATTTTATAACAAAGATGTGCAGAACCATGTTGTACAATATGGTTGTTCTTTTTGTCATCCTCCTCAACAGCTATGTCGCTCGGGCTTCTGATCCGGATCCGGTTCAGGACTTCTGCATAGCCACCACAGAATCTGCAAACCATGCCAAGCAATGCAAGAACTCATCCCTTGTAACAGTAGAAGATTTTGTATATGCTGGCATTAAGGTTCCTGGAAAATTTGGTCCAACAGGGCTCTCTGGAGTTTCAGTGAACTCAAATGTCTTCCCAGGATTAAACACACTTGGCATGTCACTTGTCCGAGCTGATTTTGAAGTTGGTGGTGTAAATGTGCCACATTTGCATCCAAGGGCCACTGAGATTGCATTTGTGCTTGAAGGAACGATTTATTCGGGTTTCGTTGATACAAATAACAAGGTTTTTGCTAAAGTGATTGAGAAGGGTGAGGTGATGGTGTTTCCAAGGGGTCTCGTGCACTTCCAAATGAATGTTGGTGATACTCCAGCAACTATATTGGGGAGTTTTGACAGCCAAAATCCTGGATCGCAGAGAATTCCAGCTGCAATTTTCGGATCTGGGATTAAAGAAAAGCTCTTGGAGAAGGCTTTTGGATTGAGTTCTAAGGAAATTTCCAAGTTGAAAAAGAAGCTTAGTCCCCATTGATTCAGCTAGAAGGGTGCTTTCTTTTTACTTTGTTTTATTAATTTGTATGTTTTCATATTTTATGAGCAAATTAGATTGCTGAAATATATGAGTCTAAATTACAGGCCAAATTTCTTAGCCATTGAACTACAACTTGTATCCTAATCAGTAGGAAATTTTTTGCTGGTGAGGAGATGGTGGGCAGAGTGAAATGCAAAAAAGTCTTCTTTGGCATCAGTTTTCTTTACTGTATCCCGCAATTGCCTCTACTTACCTGCTAAATCCTTCCAATATTGGTTTTATTTTTTATTATTTGCAAGCCAACAGAGGGAAGAAAAAAAAAGAAAAAAGAATTTTACTTGCTTCTAAATCCATAATCAACATGCGGTTACTAAATTTTTTAAGTTCTAGCCATTTTTCCTTATATTTAGATTTTAAAAAAAAAGAAAAAAGAGAGGTACATTTTGATTTAAAATACTCAATGAAATTTGAACAACTTGATCATAACATTAAATTCGGCATCCATTTCACAGAAGGTTCATATCTTGTAATGTAAAATGAACAGCTCTAGCATATACGTGGATTAGGCCAGTTGGTCAAGAAAGTGTGGTGGCTCCATGTACCCGATTAGAGTAGTTTAAATGATCGCTTTGTCAAAAAAAGAAAAAAGAAAATAGCTCCAAGTTTAAATTGAGGAGTACCTAGGAATGGAGCAGCTGTTTGGCTTCCACCTCCACTTTTCGTAGTCAGAATCCGGCCTTCCATTTTTCTGACAAGTCACTGCAGTGCTCAGATATGGACAACTAGAGTCATAGAGAGGATACGATTGATCGTAAACCCACTTGCCAACCGAAAAATCACATCTGCTCCTTGAATTTTGTTGGCTCTGAACCATGTTAACTTCATCATCTTCATCATTAAGCCAAGAGTCATCCTCCAGCTCAAAATGTGATGACTTCCCAAGAGAGAAGCACAGAAAGACAATGAAGATGCTAAAGAGTAAGATGAGTTGAAGCTTTGTTTTCGTCATTCGAAGCCAAAGGAGAGAGCTGAATTGGAGTAGTGAAATTAAGGATCCCCAAGAAGAAGCATTTTGTAAGCTGCAATGGCCTTAAGATGAAATTGTTGTGTCAAGGCATGACTTGCGGTGTGGTGGACCATATGCATGCAATGTTCTTCTACTCATTGCCATTAATGTTTCTCTTTCTTTTTCACTGTTGTGGAGAGGGGATGGTGGAAAGCGGAAACAAAGGATAAAAAGTGAGAAATTTGATCACCGTGACTGACGGATGTGTAGGCCATGCACATCATTGGTAATGTTTTTCAAACGTCAAAAAGGTTAAAGAGATCTTTAGACCAGTTAATTGTCAGAAAATTAAGGACAGTTGCACCAAATAATTAACAGAAAATGATGTATGTTCTTTTGCAAAATACTCTAGCTGTTGTTATAGAATGCTATATTAGGTATCAATTATACAGTTGGGAAAAAAATTTGGAATGTTGAAACTGGTCTAAACACTGGTTTGGTTCTGCTTTTTGGGAGAAAATAAGGTGAGACATCTAGTGCATAATCCAAGAGGTTTTCACAATTTGAATCAATATGGTCACGATGACTATAAGTCAAAATATAATGAAGACGGCAATGTTTATTGGCCAAACTATGACTATTATTCGAATAATAATAATAACAACAACAATAATAATAATAATAATAGATATGGCTACAAGAAATTTATTTTAATATGAAACTAATTATTCAAGTAGCAAAAATAACCGACAATAAGCCGAATTTTGGCTATGAAAATGAGCAAAATTTAAGCATAAATTGATGTTCTACTTGTAAACTCCATGTTTTGCTAGTGCGTGTTGAGTCCTACATCGGTAAAATGTTGGTCGATATGCGCTTCATAAGTGATTACAGACTCATTAGTGTTAATTAAGCACAAGTGATTACAGACTCATTAGTGGTAATTAGTCCTTCTGGGTTATAACAGGGCGGTGGCATGAGCCTCCATGTGTCATGAAAAACGATAAAATGTGTGGGCTCGAGGGCATAGGTGTGGATCTGACTGTGGGCCCTGATGATGACGTCAAGCATTTAAGTGGGGGAGAATATAACAACCCAAGTTCTGTTGGTGTGTGTTAAGTCCCACACTGGTAAATTACTGGGTCGATCTGGACTTCATAAGCGATTACAAGAGGAGCCTCATTAATGACTAGTCTTGCAATATAACGTTAAGGTGGCGTGGGCTTCCCTAGCTTTGATAGAAAAGTATATTCAGAAGGTTGTATTCGAGAGCAACTATACTACTCATAACCCTTGAGAACAATTGCAATCGTCTTAGGCTTATTAAACGAAAAGAAAAATTAACAGTAACCTGGCCTCAAGTGAAGAAACCATGGAAGTTGACATGGTTTTTCCCCATAAAGCCAATTTGTGGAGTCTAAATCGGAAGTTGCCTTGACGGCTTTCCGAAAATTGGCCACCTCATTCTTCACCTACTAGGGAAAATTTTATTGGCCAAAAGGAAAAGGATGAAAAAAAATTCAAGCCGATTATAAAAAATATTGACAAGAGCTCAAGTTGCCCCATGAATATTTTGATGAAGAAGTCAAACAAAACAGGGTCAAGCAAGGCCGAGAAATGGCCTCAAGTGAAGAAACCATGGAAGTTGACATGGTTTTTCCCTACAAAGCCAATTTGTGGAGTCAAAATCGGATACACTGTTAGATTTGAAGGTAGCCAAGTGGAAAAGAGCCTTAACTTGAACATAAATGATCTCTGGTTCAAATCCCCATGACACATAACACCTTGGGTAGTGTGTAGACCTGTCAATTGATCGGATTTTGATCCGAATCCGATATGAATCCGGTGTAATTAATAGGAGATGGATTGGACTTCTCAATGCGATAATATAATTGGGAGCATTTTTGCTCATCACTTTAACCAAAAGTGTAGCCTCACCCCCCTCTTAAAAACTTGACACATGTCTATAAGTCTAACGATAGTTAACCTTTTGTTTTTGTTTTTTTTTTTATGACATTATTATGAAAGAGAAAATCTTCTACATCCAATATTTTTTCAAACTCAAAGAAGTTAAAGGCTGAAGATGTCATTGCTGGTGAAGTTGCAGAAATGGCTGCTTCTATTAAACAATTCAGAACAAATCTGATGCAAAAAAAACCTACTCTTGATGAAGTCTATGATGTGGTGACTACAATTTCAGATTTAAATGAAAATCAATGTTATTTCACTTGTTGAAGAAGATTCCACTTGAAAAAAATAAGGCTTTTTATCATTAAGTTCATGAAGAAAGAGTAGAAAACTAATTTTAAACAAGGTTTATTTCCAATTATGTATTATTAATTATACTTTTTAAATTTCAAATCACTCAAACTACCGCCTTATGTAATTTGAATTTAATTTGATGACATGTAGTGTTTGAATGAGAAAAAAAAACCAAAATAGCTATAAAAAAAAAAAGGAAGAGCCAAAAAAAAGGCAAATAAATAAATAATTAACAGAACAGCTAAAAGAAGGGAAAAAATAAAATTCATATGTTTACCAAAAATTACCCAATCAAATATCACTAACAAAATAATTAGCCAAATAAGGAACTTCACTAGAGGTGTTAAACAAATTGAGCCAGCCTAGCACGACCCGCTTAAGTAAGCCCTGGTATGGCACGACTCGTATCTTTGGGTAGGGCTCGTCAATGGGCCGGGGTTACCCGGCCCAAATTTAATGAGCTTGGGCTGGTCGGGCCGGCTTTAAAAAGGAGAGAGAAAATATCGGGCTGGGCCGAGCTGGGCCGGGCTGGTTTTTTTTAGAAAATTCAAAGCTCAAGCCGGACCCATGGGCCGAGCTTGAGAAAGCTCATCGGCCGGGCTGGGCTAAGCCCAATGGGCCAGGCTGAAACGGGCCTACTTCAACTTCAATCGAAAAAAAATCATAAACTTAATCATAAGGGCATTTTAGTCCAAATTTGAGATTAAACTCACTTAATTCCAATATTTTTACATCAAACCAAATTCATAAAACACCCAAAAAAGTCACACAACTCAATAAGATTTTCCACAAAAATAATAAAACCAAGTATTATTTTTGAGGTTATTACATAATTTGACCGTAATATGTTTTAAGAAAGTGATATGATTATATTTGGTGATATGATATGTTGTTCATCTTATTTATATATATATATATATATATATATAATTGTTGTATTAATAATTGACACAAATTAATGTGCTAATCATCCAATTATAAACTAGGAATGAGTAAAGAAAAGTAAATGAAATGAAACAAATTATATATGTGATGTAAGTGATATAATCCTAATCCTAAACTCTTATTTATACATAATTATATATGTATGCGGGCCTAACGGGCCGGGCTTTCTTGGGCTTTATTGGGTCGGACCTATGGGCCGGGCTGGGCTTCAGACACCCAAGCCCAAGCCTAGCCCAACCCAAGGCGGGCCGGTCCATCTCAAAGCCCATAACAGGCTGGGCTGGGCTTTTTTCCAATGGGCCGGTCGGGCCCCCATCGGCCCATGAGCCCGCGAGCCAAATGATGAGGCCTATCTTTGGGTCATGCTAAGACAAGGTAATTAGGCCCAATGGACTGGACTAGTTCGTGGCTCGTGGCAGGCCGTGCCCAACATACCAACCCATTTAAAGCCCATTTATTAAATTATATTTGTTTTAGAGAAGAATAATACATAATATTATTACATTTATATCTTAAATTCAAGTTTATTTCTTTTCCCTAATAATATGTATTAAAATTTAATATTTTCTTTATATATAACATAATGATTGTATTTTTCTAGTTTTAATTTTTAAAATTCAAACAATAATCTAGTCAATTTCTATTTAAATGTACTTTAAAGAAAATTATTGATACTTTTTTCAACAAATAATTAATCTTGTTAATATATACATAATTGTTAAAAAAAAAAAAAGAATGAAGTTGTAAAAAAAATGCAATACATAAGACAAATTTAATGTGGGCTCATCTCAATTTGTTTAGTGACAAGGCATGGGGATTGATGATTTTAAAAAATGAACGGGCTACTAAATGGACCAACTCTAAACGGGATGGCCTGGTTGACAACTCTTGTTTGTACCATATCTGATCCTCCGCTCATCAATTGACACGTGGATCACTTGAACTCCCCAAGTACCCAAGGCTCCGAACAATCGGCTACCGATG